CGTGGGACCGGCCAAGGCCTCCACGTGGGACCGGCCAAGGCCTCCACATAGGACCGGCCAAGGCCTCCACGTGGGACCGGCCAAGGCCTCCACATAGGACCGGCCAAGGCCTCCACATAGGACCGGCCAAGGCCTCCACGTGGGACCGGCCAAGGCCCGGTGAAGGCCATTTTGTGAAATGATTTCGGAAAAGTGTTTTTTCGCGTGTTTTTTCCGCATGTTTTAATGGCTGGGCGGCCCCAGCAGATCCTTCACGGAGCTACACTAAAATACCTGTTCGGCTATTTTAAAATCCGCATATTTTATTGTAGTAACCGTATCAAATCGCTCCATCCGCTGTGCTGCGCCCAGGATCTTCGCATTGTTCCAGCCCAACCTTTATGATGTGGCTGCTTCGTTGGCACCAGCAACGGATGCATACGGTGTTGAATTCGACCAATTTGTTAGGAAGCCAACTCGTTGCAGCACGTTTTTGTTTGTTTGTTGACTTATTTTTGATGTCACCTACTAACCTACTACCCGGTTTTTCCTTTTTTTGTTGGGTGTCACTGGAGTTGGTTTCATACTTGTTGTGTTCAAATCTTCAGCGGCTTAAGTAATTGGACGGCGTTACAAAGGCTCGACCAGAATTTGGTGTGCGTCGTCGATATGGGCCTCTTTGGAAAACGTGGGTCGTCGGTGGTAACGTGTACACAATCGTTTTGCACTTGCCAAGATGGTTACTGGGGTGGCTTTATGTCGTTTTTGTAGGGTTACTTACATTTACCTCCATGGACGGTTGATGGATATACAACGCTATGTATATTCAATGTCCAGAGCGCCAGCGAGCCTCAGCAAGGCAAACTATGTGGCGGACACACCTGCCTTCCGTGAGACGGTCGCTTGGTCGTATGCGGTGACGTATGCCACGACCTTGCGACTCGTTGGCACGGATGGGGAAAGAAAAGGGTCCAAACCTGTGCCCTGCGCAAGTCGAAGTTCGGGCTCATGCGCAGCCGCATGCGCAGCGCATTCTGTTTGTTTTGTTGCGGGAGATCAGACTGTCTACAGATTGGGGTATGCCACGACGCCAAGGGCTGGCTTCGTGCTGATCCGCTTGTACCTGGACAGCAACTGGGGAGGGTCTCGCTTTCCATCCGGTCGTTTGTAGGCACCTGAGAGCTGGAGACGATAACGATTTTTACACAGAGGTTTCAAGGTTTCAGAGGTTCGATGGCACAATCATCATGTTTGGGTGGTTTAAATGGACCCTCATCTAAATATGCTCTTGGGGGTTGTGCCATCTATTCTGAAACTACTGCATATTTTCGAGTTGCAAACAGTGAGCGGGGCAGTCTCTTCGTTACCCATCGAGGGACAACAGGTTCAGCATGTGTTTCGCGTCCTTGGATGAACTACAGCTGTGCGAGTTTTTTCTGTCACAAGGTTGGAGGTGTGGGTGGGGAGCGATGACTGCCATATATAAAAGAAGTGGCTCGTCCAGATCCGCACAGAGTAGGTCTGGAGAGGTCATAGGCACTTGGGCGCAGTGGTGTGGCACTGCTTGTGCAGCTGCAGTGGTGTGGAGATGTGTGGAGCTTCGTATTGTCCAGATCCGCCAAGGAACATCATGGAACAACCATGCAAGCACAATTGATGTTCCTGGCTTGGCTTACAATGATTTCCAATCTCAAGCTCCGTGAGGAAGCCAGAAGAATAGGTCTACTTGAGGGTTTCCAGTACGCAAAGACGTCAGCCACCTGGAAGGCATCATTTTCGACCTGAACCATCCAGAAGTCAAACCTTTTGCTTCGAGGGCACCTCTCTCAAAGGGCCAACCGAAGGGCTCCTCAGACCAGTCACTTCAGACCATGGCAGTATGCCGAGGATTCCATCGCAGAAGGAGGAAGCCCAACACAGGAAGAAGGCGCGGCGATGTGATCGCGACGGCAACAGCGACAGCGAATCGCCTTGGGAGCTCGCCACGCAATGTGTTGCCCTGGATTTTGAGGCACGCGCCGCAGTGAACCGAGTGGTTCACTGAGTGGCTTTAGTTTTACATGTTCTACCCCAGATGTTCGGGGTCGGGAAAGGCACAAAAGGAGAAACGATCCAACCAAGTCAGCAAGGAATTTCCAAGGCAGACAAATTGAGGTTTTGATGTTTGGAGGGGTTTGGGGGAGACCTGATTGTAAAGATTGTACACTTCGATTGATCGGTTGATATTCTTCAATATGATAGACGTGAAGATTGCAGACGATTCCACGTGAGGCACGTGCCCATGGGCCCGGGGTGAGGCAGGTGCTCTGAATCTGAGATGGGCACACAGCAGCACAAGCCTCTCAAACCTCCCGGCCTAGACCCAAAATTCCATGAAACTTCATGTGCTTTGGATCAGTTAGAACATCTTTTCATGAGCCATGGTCGGCCATGGTCGAAGTTTTCCCCAGAAGGAGGCATGGAGCAACCACAAAGTTTGGTTGGCTTGTGGCGGTTCTGCAAGACATGTTTTGTCAATTACAACCTCCAGCCCCACCTACTGGTAGACTATTGACTATTGGTCCAGTCAGCATCCTTCAGATACCTCTTCGCAGTGCAGTCACGCAGACTGTCACCTGTACACACCCGCCGCACTCCCCTCTTCACGCCCCTCAGCGTGCGAGGAGTGGGGCAGCCACCCCTTCTATGGCATCATGGTGCTGGCTGGAAGACTCAGATTCGACGTTTGTTCACAGCTGAGTGACCGAGTGGGAGCTGGGTCCCAGCTGTTGGTAGTTTATTGCTGCAGCCAATGGTGACCTAGCAGACCTAGCATCAGTTTCTGATACCATTGGGCGAATGGGTGCACACTTCGTAGCACGCTGCATGTCCAAAGCCCCCAACCCAAGAAGCGGCTACCAGAGCCCTCCGAATCCGCAGGAATCTCCTGCAGTCATGCCGCCCCCCTTGACAGCCACAGGCCCCATTTTCTTTCAGCAAATGATAGCAAATGGAGTTTCCATCTATATACCTTCTTTGGCAACTGAGTTTTGTGACAGCCGGTAGATTAGCTGAGTAGCCCTTGTGTGTTGCGTGTGTGTTGTTCTGGTTTTAAGATCTCACCATGGGCTTTAGGCAATGCGGCTTCCAGGGAAGATCAAAAGAAGGCCGCTTCACCAGCAGGCATCTAAATGAGAGCCAACCTGGTTTTAAAAAATAAAAGCATCATATGCATATGTTCCTTTTCAATTTTCGTTTTTGGGAGGTCTCCCTTTTTCAAAATTGCTTGAACTCACCAAAAACCTCAGGTTTTGCCGACCATTTGCTTCCTCTATGCCATCACGGCCGGCGAACTCAGTTGCGACGACACCGTCGTGTGATGGGAAAGCGGTTTCTGTTGCCCTTTGTGAGGCGGCTTTTAATGCCAGGAGTGAGAGAGAGAGAGAGGGAGAGAGACTGGGATTGCATGGCATGGACCCCAGTTTTTGAGGAACTGGCGAGAGATGGTGAGAGAGAGCGAGAGCGAGCGGTATTCTGTATACATGTTCTTTAATGTGAAAGACCCGGTATTGATTGTATTTGTGTACATGTGTGCGGCAAAAACTTGGGGTGACAGACATTTGGAATTAGTGATTGGCAGACAGCCAGGTTAGCCCCCTATTGTCACACACACTGTGCGTGGCGGTGCTTTCCAGTCAGGTCTTGGTGATGGCGAACATCCCAGAGTTGGCATGCCTCAAGGCGATTGGTGGCCCGGGATGCGAGTGATGAGGTGCGGCTTGATGGGTGAACCGGGTCGGTGGAATCTCTCTCTCGCTCCCTCTCCCTCTCCCTCTCCCTATCCGATATCCCTCTTTATCTCTATCTCTCTCTCTCTTTGTCTCTCTCTCTCTCTCTTGGAAAGCTCGAGCTGGAAGAGTTGTCATGGGGACTGGGGAGAATCTGATGTGAATACGATGAAAGGATCGGTCTTCGTTAGTATTGACGGGAACGGTCATTTATTGTAACCCATGGTGTGCGTTGTTTTCATTCTGCAAATCGTGGAGGAAATCTGGGATTTTGTGAGATGTGATGTTGTTTTAGTGCAGTCCGTTTGAGTGGAGTTTGTGGATTTGTGGAACAAGAGCTGGGGCTGGTCCAATGCAAAAGTACGATTACATGAGGTCAGCAGTTGTTCAACGTTTGTTCCAATCATCCATGCCGTAGTTGTTGCGGGCACACTGTTTCCATAGTTTTTGGATAAGAACAAGAACAATCAATATTATCACATATTATCACCAGTTGAAGTGATAATATATGCCATCTAGATCTATCTAGTGATGTGCATTGTGAGTTTGGTAAAGGTCTATGACGACCCAGGGGGTGCATCTCCAAGTCTGGCTGAGTGGTGTTTTAGCCAGAACTACTCCACCTTCGACGACCAAGGGGGTTCATCTATGTGGCACATGTTCTTTTCCAGTCCCTACCCCACCCCCTACTCTCGGTATGCAGTTCAACACGGCCTGATTTCTCTACAGCTTCCCTACAGGGAATCTTGATTTCTCGGAAACTGTCTCAAGATTCCCTGAAGATGTGTTCCGCACGGAACAGTCCACACAGACCAGACCTTCAGTGAGCAGCTACTCGTCGCGCCATCGCGGCGCCACCGCCCACCCGGCGGTTTACGGCGTAAACGTCCATTGACCTTCGCTTCCCCCTTCAGGTTGAAGGTTTGGTTAGGACCAGAAACCGGTGTTTGCAAACAGACTCAGGCAGCCCGAAGGCCAGCCCACAGACTCAAAAAAAGGGTTGACAAAGGGCTGGTGCTTGTTTTGGCCCACGGAAAGGATGATATGTCATTTCTTGACAGGCTCCTGACTCCTGGCACTGCGCGCTTGACCTTGAGGGTGGTCCAGCTGTAGGAAAATTTTGTTACGTTCATGAACATGGATGAACGAGGTATTGCAACGTTTGGGGGCCCAGATAGGGTAGCACAAATCACAAGTGAGACTCCTGACATGATTCACTTTTGTGCCCAGGAAGGCTTTGCGGAACGGTGCTAAAGCTTTCAATTTGTTCGACCTCAGCTGGAGGTACGATGTTCGACTGCACCTGAACCCGCGCGACGCCGGAGCCGGCGCGAGAATGCATGGGCCGTGAAGCTTACGTGGCAGGCAGGGGGAACACCACCTGCTTTGAGCTACCGTGGCTGGTCCCGACACTCGCACATGCATGTGTGTGGCCAAGATCGGGGCCGCCAGGTGAGAGCAATCCCCCCGGGGAAGTGTGGCTGACGGCGACACAGAGTCTGAGAATAGTTTTAGTATGTTTTTAGTTGCTTTGATCAATCAGTGCACCACCGCTGTGGGAAGTCTGGACTCTACACCGCAAGGAGGCTCTAGTCAAGGCATCACGAACTCACGGCGTGTGTCTCATGGCGAGAAAAGTTTTCCGCATGGTGTCTCAGCTCACAAGTGTCAAATCGACACTGACGACCCACCTTGGTTTCCACATGCTCGGCATTTGGCCTCGTTTCTGCTCAGATCGACCGTTGGGCAGATGTTTCACCGATGGTGAAACCTGAAGTTTCAAAGCTATACAGCAAAGCAGGGTTTGTGAGCCAGGAGTCACACAGGGGTGGTGTTTAGTCCCATCCAGTGAGTGGATATTGGACACCCCTAACCTCGATGAAGCTCCCCTTTGTCACTCCTGGAGGGCTTGATTTCAATTGTGTTTCTTTGGGCCCGCCGAAATATTGGGCGCAGGACTGAAGCTGAGTGGGACATGGGTGCTCGTTCTTTGAGGGCGAAGCTTCCGCGTGCCGGATGTCATGGGGGGATATGCAGACGATGTAAGCATGTCATGTTTCGTTGGGGGAGCCTCACGAACGAAGAGTTGACCCCGCGACTTGGCGTTGGCGACTCCAAGCGCTCAAGTTGTTTCTGCGACTCGGGGCCTTTCAGCGGAGCTACAACAAGGTGGATCCAAATGAGCAAAGTACGAGAAGCCACGCAGACCTACTTGGACGGACCACGCCCTGCTGTGATTTTTGTTGGGTAGTTGACCTGCCTGTTGACCAATTCCGGTGTGTGTTGATCACATCATAACGTTTGTTCAAAGTGCCTGTAGGTGGATGAGAATCAAGCGGGAGTGGTGAACGAAGTAGAGGCTTCGCTCGCATTCGCTCGCCATCGCCATGAAGAAAAGGCTTGGCAGCTTAGATCAATCCCTGCATGTTGCACTCTCAAGTCATGCACGTAGCTTGTGCACAGGGCATATTCCCACCTGCTGCATGCAAGTCGGTACATCGGCTCCTTTTCTGAGAAGTCATTGGGCCATTATATATATATAATTATATATATACATGGATTTTCCAACTGTGCAGTTTTTATGTCTTTTCATCCATAAAATCAACCAAAAGGCATTATTTTTGGAAGATCGTACTGAGAGGTTCATTTGCTACTCATGGGGATGTTTCGTTCCATTGACTCGGGCAAGAAGAGACCCCTCATGGCCCTCCGAATCTTCGGCCTGGGACAGGTTTAGGCGCGACGCGCGACGCGCCTCTTGCCCGAGCGAGGTGTTCACTATAGCTTTGCCGTGCAATATAGTATTGTGCCCCCCCCAAATGCCAGGGATCCACATACCATTTGAGGTGCTTGGGAGCAACTTGGGGGTGTTCCGGGTTTGGAGGGTCAGTTACTTTTGAAGGATGTGGTGTTTTCAGCACGACAGACAGCTGTCCATTTGGCCTATGGTTCACCAAAGAGTTCGGCTTATGGTTTCCAAATGCATTTCTTTGATGGCTGACTTTATGATCATGTTGTTCCGGTTGAGTCATTGCATGATCACGGGCCAGTAGCAACCTGCAATGCAGCTCCATGGGTAAACCCAGTTTCAAGCGCCACAAATGTGGCGCTTAGACACTCTGGACTGCTGGTAGTTGATGTGGACTGACTCGAAGTGTACATGTCCGACCGCAGTTGAGTGCTCAAGCAGTGT